GAGAGATACACTACATTGTAAGATTATATAAAAACTGAGCCTGAAAAAAAATGAGCCTGGCCTAGTTAGGGAAGCAAGAAATGCTCTTCTGAGGAAGTGCCACTGCGGCTCCCCGCTGCAGGATAACTCAAAGTCAGACAGCCAGACTCGGGAGGTGTGGGCGTAGACTCTAACAGGCAGTGGGAGAAGAATGTGGAAATGGCTGGGGATATGGAGACCATGGTGCTGTGATAGAAATGAAAATTGTTTGGAGTGCAGGAAGGGGAAAGGTACAGAGGCAGATAGGGGAGATCACTCAGGATTTTGTATGTCTCAGTAAGAGCTTCATTCTACGAGAAGTGAAACGCCCTGGGAATGTAGATTGCAGTGCAAGCTACAGACGTGAATCTGATATGCTGAAGGGAGCACGTGAAAGGAGAGGAAGCCTTAGATCTGAGCCATGACACGTTCCACGTTCCAACCTCTAAATGCCAGTGAAAGATAAAGAGCTAGGAAAAGAGATGGACACAGAGCAGCTAGTTGGGTAGAAAGCTATATACTAATAAAGTAGAGTGTCACAAAAGGGAAGGGAAGAGAGCATTTCTAGAAGGCGAGCATGGAGTATGTTGAATGCCCCTAAGCGGTCAAGTAGGAAGGAGTTGAAAGGTTTCCACTGAATTTAGCATCATAGAAGTGGTTTATGATCTTGGTGAAGGGCAGTCCTGGGGAGCAGTGGGGAAGGAGCTAAGACCCTGGAGTGGTGTATGCAGACTGGAGAGTGAACAGGACGTGAGGAAATAGAGACAGTATGTGGGGAGGATTCTCTCAAGAAGAGTGACAAGGAGAAAGCTAAGCAGCAGCTAGAGGGAAGGGTTGGACAGAGACAGAATTTATTCTTTTTTTTTTATTTTTAGTAGGCTCTATACCTAACATTGAACTCACAATCCCTAGACCAAGAGTCTCATACTCTACCAGCTGAGGCAGCCAGACGCCCCAGAACTCATTCTTTATTTATTTTGAAGGTGTGCTGTGAGGGATCCTGTAGAGAGAAAGAGGTTAAAGACACAGAAAAAGAAAAGATAATAGGTAGTTCAAGGTCTCCAGGAAGGCAGGAGGGACTGGAGCTCTAAGCACTGGATCTTGTAATAGGAGATGATAAGGGAGGGGTAAGTAGGCATATTTGTAGGTGAGAATGGGGAAGAGTTTACTGAGCCCTCATCTAATGACTTCTATCATCTCTGTGAAGTAGAAGGTGAGGTTGAAGAAGATTTAAAACAGTTATTCTGGAAAATAAGAGAGCCCACAGTTGAGGTTGTTGGTATAAAGTTATGCTGATATCATACACCCTAGTGTGTTTTTTTTCTCACCAGCCCTTCTCAGCTTCACAAATGACAGATGTTAAATGATTAGGTTTATTTTGGGGGGTGGGGGGAGGAAAGGGTATTTGTTAGTGATACATTAGTCCAGGGAAGCAGCATTCCAGAAGAGAGAGGGAAATGCGATGCTAGGGAGCAAAGTGGGTATATTGAGAACAGACACAGTCAATAAGTGGTGATACTGGCAGCACAAAGAAGGTAGGAACGTGGACAATGGAAGGAGCAAAAACCGGAAAGAGAGAGATTCAGTGATGTGGGGTAGCTTCAAGTCAATTCAGGAGTCCACCTGGGGAACATGGCCCATGGCCTGGGGCCATTTTGCTTATGTGCAGTTAAGTTCATTTCTCAGAGGGGAGACCAGCTCTGAGTCCACTGTTCCTGCCCATGAAGGACAATGAGGTGGTTGGAGAGGAAAGGGTAGATTGGAGACAAATATGTGAAAGATTGGGCCATAAAGTTAAAACGAACACCAGATTTTCCACTTGAAAAATTCAGTGGAGTTGGGCTGCTGGGGTGTGGAGACCCGGTGAGCCTATGGGTGGGTGAGCAGGCGACGGGGTGGGGGTAGGTGGAAGAAAAATCAAATGAATGTAGAAAGTGGAGTCTTCAATTGTATGCTAGCAGGAACTTCTGAAAGGAAAAGAAGTCTACTAAAATGATCAACTTGTATCATACAAAATTTATAAATTTATATCTTAGGCTGCTGTCTGGGTCCCAAAATGAAATAGATGGTCTGCTCAACTAGAATGCAAGGAGATGTATAGGTGTAAGGTGTTCGGAAAGTGCAAGAATTAGTGTAGAGACTGTGAACCACCAACAGGTGCTCTTTACCATCTCTAGGCCTGAGGGTTGAAGGGGCAGAAAACCACTTATCGGAATCTAAAGACTAAGTCATGGGAGAGCTTCCTATTAGGAGCTAAGACTTTTGGTTGAAGGATTCAGGTAGCTCACGAGAATGCTTTTGATTTCTGGCAGATCCTCACCATTGGCCAAACCCAATAAGGAACTGGAGGGCAAGAAAGCCCATTGATAGAGTTCATAGAAATCAGTTTCCACAGGCACAGAACAGGGGACAAGTAGATCTGGAGGACAAATGGAAGGAGACCCCAGCTGGTCTCTTTAAAGAGTTCCAGCTTCTCCCAGAGCACAAACCACACACCAGATGAGACTTCACGCCGGTTCTCCGATTTGTCTGCAACAGTTACCTTTGCAGTCATTCGATCAGCATATCACACTTTACCCCGCCTCTCTGCTTACCCCCAAAGACTAAACTGCTTTCTCGGTCATACCACCTCTGGTCTCTCTGAAGTATATCTTTGGTACCCCAGCGTGTTATAGGGGTTTTTCCAGAGTACGGGTCTGCCTGTCTGGATTTTCCGTACTCTCTATTCTCTGAGACCTCCAACCTGTTGGTCGCCTGCATGAACACAGTGCTTCTTCCTGGTTCATCCAGCCCCACTCTCAGTCTGAAAACCCAATGGAAAATGCAGACGTGGCTACAGTTCAAAGACCCTGAAGTTCACACATATGGTATAAATCATTCTGAGGGAAGAAGCCCTCCACCATGCTTCCCGGGGAGGTCTGTTCTTTCCATTGGCCTCCGCCAGAGAAAGCCGCGCGGTCACTGTTGTTCTTGCAGGTCATCCACCCTGCCTCAGTCTGCTGGCACAGGCTGTTTGGACCCTTGATGCTGCTGCCAGAGGGAATTTTTTTTAATTTATCCACTGGGGTACCTGGGTGGCTCAGCTGGTTAAGCCTCTGACTTCGGCTCAGATCATAATCTCACTGTTCATGAGTTTGAGCCTGCATTGGGCTCTGTGCTGACAGCTCAGAGCCTGGAGCCTGCTTCGGATTCTGTGTCTCCTTCTCTCTCGGCCCCTCCCCCACGCACACTTTGTCTGTCTGCCTGTCTCTCAAAAATAAACATTACCAAAAAAAAATTAAAAATTGTCTACCACTCACCTATTAGAATGGGCAAAATCTGTAACACTGGCGAGGATGTGAAGCAGTAGGAAATCTCACCCATTGCTGGTGGCAATGCAAAAGGAGTCTGCCATTTTGGAAGACTGGCAGTATCTTACCAAACTAAACATACTCCTACCACATGATCCAGCAGTCATACTTCTTGGTATTTACCCAAAGGAGTAAAAAAATGTTGACACAAAAACCTGTACACAGTCGTTGATAGCAGATTTATTCATAATTGCCAAAACTTAGAAGCAACCAAGCTGTTCTTCACTAGGTGAGTGGATAAATAAACTGTGGCACGTGCAGACAATGGACTGTTATTCAGCTCTACAAAGAAATGAGCTAGGGCACCATGAAAAGACGTGGAGGAATCTTAAAAGCCTGTCACTAAGTGCAAGAAGCCAATCTGAAAAGGCTACATACTATATGATTCCAACTATATGACATTGTAGAAAAAGTCAAACTATGGAGACGGTAAAAAGATCAGTGGTTTCTGGATGCAGTGGGAGAATAGGCAGATAAGAGAAGAGTGCCTGAATAGGCAGAGCACTGATTTTTAGGGCAGTGAAAAGACTCTATATGATATAATAAAGACAGCTATATGTCATTATACACTTGTTCAAATCCACAGAGCATACGATAGCAAGAGTGGACCCTAAGGTAAGCAGTGGACTTTGGGTGGTGATGATGGGTCAGGATATGTTCATCTCTGCCAAAATATGTACTACCCTAGTGAATGATGTTGATAGAGGGGGAGGTTAAGCAGGTGTAGGGATAGGGAGAATAGGAGAAATCTCTGTACCTCCTCAATACTGTTGTGAACCTAAACAGCTCTCAAAAATAAAGTCTTAAAAAAAGCATCTGTAGCTCTGTGCAATAGCAGTGTTATAGCCAATTAGTCAATGAGGCATGACTATTGCTAATTGAAAATATATATATATAAGGGTCCAGTACAATGATATTATTCAATTTGTTTTAATTTTTTTTAACATTTATTTATTTTTGAGACAGAGAGAGACAGAGCATGAACGGGGGAGGGTCAGAGAGAGGGAGACACAGAATCCAAAACAAGCTCCGAAACAAGCTCTGAGCTGTCAGCACAGAGCCCGACGCGGGGCTCGAACTCACAGACCACGAGATCATGACCTGAGCCGGAGTCGGCCGCTTAACCGACTGAGCCACCCAGGAGCCCCTGTTTTAATTTTTTAACGTTTATTCATTTTTGAGAGAGAGAGAGAAAGAGACAAAGCATGAGTGGGAGAGGGGCAGAGAGAGAGGGAGACACCAAATCTGAAATGGGCTCTAGGCTCCGAGCTGTTAGCACAGAGCCCGACACGGGGCTCAAACTCATGAACCGCGAGGTCATGACCTGAGCCAAAGTTGGACGCTTAACCTGACTGAGCCACCCAGGCGCCGCTCAGTTTATGTTTTCATTAAAGTTTTTATATATAAAAAATTATGACAACTACAGATGGCATATTATAAGCCAGTACAAAGCATAAAATCTTCTTTGCCAGGAAGGCATTATTCTCTATAGCGAAGTCATTTTTGGTTTTGTTTCTTAAACTGAGTATCCGAAACGTTTCGTATGTTTGTATGGGTTTTGGAAGCGGCAGGTCCCAGCTCTGCCTCTGTAAGCTGAGAAAAACGAATACTTACTCTCGTGGACCCTGATAGGTGGATACAGATGAGTGACCTCAGCTCAGCCAATCAGACACGTCTGCTGGGACTCTGAATTTGGAGCAAGTGACACAAAGAAGGAGGTAGTGAGAATTCATTCCAGTGGTAGCGGCATCACGCGTTTGACGGCATCGGAGCCAAGAGTAGCACGCAGCCACGGCGGCGCCTCAGCAGTATCCAGTGTCCGGTGATGGCAGCGCTGGTGGCCATGCCCAGCGTCAGCGGCGGAGCTGCGTCACCCTGACCGGGCTGTTCCTCGGTCGAGAGCTTGGCCACGGTGCTTGCCACCTGACTGCCTTGGTTCCTGCCTGCCTCTCCGGTATTCCTGTGTATTTTGTAAGCTGCCCAGTAGCCTTCCAAAACATTTCCTTCCTCCCAAGTTAACCCTTTCTCTCGAGTTACATGATACACACACACACACACACACACACACACACACACCCCAACACACACACTTATTTGTAGGAAATATATATACACCTAAAATATAATTAAATGAATAAATGTATAATATATGAATATAATGTATTTTATTTAATTAATTTATTTAATATAATGTATGTATATGTGTGTTTGTGTGTGTGTGTATATATATATATATATATATATATACACACATATATATATATATTCTCATGGAAAAACCTTTAATAGGACACAAAACCTAGAAGTCATATAAGGATGACTCCATTTGACTACATAAAGTTTTAAAATCCACCTGGGGGAAAAAGAAACATGTTGCCAAAGGTTAAATATCAAAGTGAAGTTAAAAAAAAAAACAAAACACCCAACTTGCTAAGCTAATAGATATGTGCATACATACTCATTATGTATCTTACTTGAATTTTCCTCAACGTGTGAAAGTATTGGCCATTCTTTTTGCTTAAGATTCTTCTTCACTTGGCCTTTTTATGATAGAGTTATTTCCTGGTTTTCTTGTTGTTATTTTTTTGTTGTCCCCTTCATAAATTCCCCACCCTGCCCCATTCCTTCATGCAGAATTTAAATGTTTATTTTCCCGAGTTAAGTCTTTGGCACACCTCTCCTGAGTGTGCCATACTCTAAGAGTTGTTTCGACCATTTTACAGCATTAGAAAACATCTAAATATGTATGACTCTTACCTGTAGCTCTGAATTAAATCTCTCTCGGAAACACCTGTATAACTAGTCGTCTGTGTGGCTAGCTCACAAGCAACTGAAACTCAAGATATATAATATTGAGATATAATATTATTAATCTTAAAAATGTTTAATATTTAACTAGAATTAGCAATGCAATCAGAGAGGAAGGACAGGAAACCTTCAAACTTTGCTTTCTCTCCCCATTGCTGCAAAAGTCTCTCTGAGACAGGATGCCACTTTCACAGGCCACAGCTCTAAAATGGCTTTCTACTGCTGTCATTGAGCTAAAATATTAGCTGGAAGCCAACATGCCTCCACATACCGTACCCGGTTCCAAGCACCTGTAAATGAAGGTGTCAGCGGGAAAGTTGGAAAATACACACTTTTTCTTATTGGCGAGTTCTATGAAAACAGGTACTTCAGAATAGTGACTGGCACATGCGATGTGTGTAATAAATACGAGTTGTGCGTAAATTCAGAGCTTTTTCAAGTTGACAGGGCTCTCGGTTGACTTGTAACACATGATTCTCAATGTTCAAGTGCTCTCAGGGATAAGACAGGATGAGAAAAGAGCTAGCCCAGTAGAGCTAGCTGCATCTCCACCTATGGTGTTCTCCACTGTTTCTTCCTCGACTGCCCCAGCCCTATATGGAAGAGGGATGTAGTTATGGGGAGTTGTGGGAGACAGCTTGGGAAGGTATTATAGTCTCAGAGCTGATGAAATTCAAACTTTTATTCCAAGACTCTCAAGACCTAGAGCCTAAATTTCTGCTGACCAAAGAATCTGTCTTAATTTAAATAAATCCAAGATGCTAGTACCTGGAGAAATTGATCCTAAGTCCTACAACCTCAATATGTCCAATACTAAACTCATCATCTTCCCTAAAGCCTGGGAATTCCTTTTTTTTTTTTTTTTTTTTCTTTATCTTTTGTTTTATTGAATATCACATCTTCTGTTCGCTTCCTAACCCATTGAGCTCTGAGTCATCCCTGACACCTTTCTTTTTCCTTAACCCATCAAGTTTACATTCTGAAGGCCTGTCTGGATTGTCCCTTTCTCACTGCCCTCCCCACGCCACTTTTAGTTCTCATTAATTTATGGTCTGCTTCCTAAGCTGCAGCGAGTGGGTCTCCCTACCAATCAGTTCTCTACGCCGATGTGAGAGCACTCCTTCTAGTGTATAAATTTGGCCACGTCATTCTCCTGTTTAGAATGTTTTATGACTTCCTGCTGCTTTGGGGGTAAACTCCACGCTCCCTTTGTTGGCAGTCCTCTGCTGCCCTCTCCTCCCTCTTTCCTCGCCTTCCCTTCCTCACACCCTTTGTTCAAGGAGTAACTGTAGTGCCTCGGAATCACCACCACACTTGTTCTGACCTCCATGCCTTTTAACATGGTTTCCTTTCTGCTGGAATGTCACTCTCCTGTTTTCTTTTAGCCAAACATGGCTTGTCCTTCAAGATTCCACCTGGTTCTGGCCTCTCTGAGAAGTTTCATTTGATGCCCCAGTCTAAATTGCATGCCCCCTGCTCTCAGCAGAAGCTCCCACTCTGGGCTCACCTCTTTCTTAACCCACAGCACAGGTAGTAGAATTCTTAGCTGATCTTGACTCTTTCTCTCCACAAGAAGGTGAGCTTATTGAACACTGATTTTTGTGTTCTGTATGTCTGTGATTCCTGTGCCTAACAGAGTTCCTGATGTATTGTAGCCCCTGGTACCTATTTTATGATGAAAGACTGGATAAATGAAACCACATCCTTCTTTCTCCCTAAGAATTTTAGACCTTGCTGGTAGATTCTCTTGATAGGGGGATGAAGCATTAAAGAGATTTCCTTGGCTTATTCCCTTAGGTCTTCTCCCCCACCCCCCACCCCCCACCCTTTTCTTTATAGTAGCATGTGGAGTGCTGAGTTGCACAGAGCTGCATTTTGCAACTTGGGGAAGCCATTGTTGGGAGGCCCACTGAATGCTGGAGAGAGAGGAGAGCTGGAGTTACAGAGTGCTACATATTTGAAGTCTATGCTTTGGTAGAGAAGAAAAGTTATCTGTGTTACTCATCTGGTTAAATTAGGAGGGAAATGGTGAGCAGGAATTCAAAGCATATTCTGTGTACAGGAAAAGAGTATATTTGATTTGGGCCTTCTTTGGCCTTTGTCATTTGGGGACCTGAGGGTAGCAGTAAGCCAATGCCCTTCCTTGGTTCCTCTTATGATAAAACTGGTACCTGAGTCCCCTAGGGTTTTCCCTTCTATAGCCTCATCTTTTCTGCTTCCCTCAATCACAAACCTCATCCAGAGTTGCCTGAATCATTATGAACAGACACAGAAGACTGGAAACCATTGTGGAAGCTCCTATCAGGATGACAGATTCGTCCCTCTTTCTCACTGCTTGTCTCCTTTCTGCTTCTTCATTATAACTGGAGTGTTCCAGACTCCTACCACATATTCCTCAAATATGTTAGATTGGTTTTTAGGGCACCGTGAGGTCACCTCCAAAGGAAACATCCCGTCCTAGGAACTTCATTTCTCAGTTTAGTCCCAGCATTGTTTATATCTTCTAACCCTGGCTTAGAGATGCCCAATTCAATTCAGTTCAGCAGGTCATGGCTAGGCACTAGGCCAGGCCCTGGAGTCCAAAGGAAACATCGACAACTGTTTCCAGTAGGCCATGTGCAGTGTAAGGAGAGAAGCTCTTGGCAGGGTTCAGAGCACTGCCCAAGGGTCAGAGCAACCCTCGCCAAGCCTGCCCTGGCAGTTGCTGGAGTGGTGCAGGCAGGCTCTAAGATGGCCCCCAATGCACAATCCTCATTCTTGGAGTGTGGTCTGGATTTAATGACTCACTTCTGAAGACCAGAACACAGCAAAAGTGATGTTATTTCACTTACGAGATTAGGTTCTAAAAAGATTCTTCTTCTATCAGGGGGTTTCAGAACAACAGGACTCGGTGAAGCAGAAGGAGGAACAGAAATGATGTTGAGGTTTTGGGATAGAATAACTAGGTGGATGTGTATCAGGAACTGAGATGCTGAAGATTGGATTAAAAACCAGTTTGGGGGGGGGGATGTTCTTAATGATGATTTTCTATTTGGATGTGAAGTTTGAGATGTTTATGTGACAATGCAAATAAAAATGTCTGCTAAGTAGGACCAATTTAGGTCCGAAGCTCAGAAAAGAGTTTTGGGCTTGAGTATAAACTGGGGGAGTTGTCAGCACACTGATGATGTTTAATCATGAGACAGCACAGATTGTCATGGGCGAGTACGGATGGAGCCAAAGTGAGGAGCCAGGATCGAGCCCTTAGTAATGTCAACTGCGAGAGGCCGTATTGAAGAAGAACACGTTAATGAGGCAGGAGAGAGTGGTCAACAGCTGCCAGAGAAGCTGGAGGAAGTCCAGGCATGTGCATTCTTGTGGGAAAGAGAAGGAAGTTCCCTGAGAAGATGGGAGTGGTCAGCTTGGTCAGAGGGTTTTGAGTGGGTGAGGGAGTTTAGGAATGGGAAGTGGCCATTAAAATTGGGAAGTAAACATTTAAAAAAAAAAAAAAAGAAAAGAAAGAAACCTAAAGCATGATACATTTGAATTGTTAACACCATAGTTAAAGTAGCTTGGTAAATTGCTTCCCAAAATGACTAGCCCTAGTTTTTGCCATAGGTTGAAAGATCAGAAAATGAATATAGTCAACTTGCCCTTCACCTTACCTAGCAGCAATTGCTAGTTGCACACACAGATTATAAAAATGCTTCTTTACATGCTTGAATTCAGCCATCTTCAATGAATTCTAGATGCTAGATGCATCTTCTAGCATCTTCTATAAATAATGCAGTACACTTACAGTGACTATGTTAGATAAATAAGGGCTCAGGAAGTGTGCATGTATGTCAACACTGCGTGGAAGGGAATTGTCCAGTTTTGAAAACTATACCACCCCAGGGGAAGAGAATCCTTCATGTAGCCCCTCAGCAACTCAACGGCTCAGCAGCACAAAATAACACTAGGAAAATTATGCTGCACACTGAGTAAGCATGACGTGGTCAATTTATTCATAGTCTATTTTTGCAGCGATCTCTTTGAGCTATGCCAGGATTAATAAATGTGGTTTATGCATAGCCATGATGCTCTCGGGAGACTTAATTTAATAAAAATATAAACCCCCAGATAAGTCTTATTTTTGTAATGTTCTGGTAATCACAGGATTAGGGTAGGCAACCCAGCAGTGCTGCTGGCTCTTTCTCAAAGCCCGGGTGTGTGGCCTGCGGACCAGACTTAGGGTTGCTTTAGGTTAGTGCAGGGCAGGGGCCGGGCTGAACTGTGCTGA